CTTGCCCAGAGTGGAGCCTTTCTGTAAGGAAAAATCCGGGAATTCCAGCGACGCTCCTCGGAAGTGCGAGGCGTCCGCGCTGCCGGAGGGCCGGGAGCCGCTCGGCTCGCAGATGGAGCGCTGGCTGCATTCCTGCCGCCAGGCGGCGCTGCGGAGCTGCGGAGGTCGGCAGCCCCGCGCCTGGTTCCGCCCTCGGGACATCGAGGCGGGCGGCAGCGCCGCAGAGCCGCGCTGTCATTTTCGTCCGTAAAGAAAAATGGTGTCTTAGCTCTTTTCTGAGTAATAGCGGCATGGGAGAGGGAGCTGACACCATAGACAGGAGGCTGGGGCAGGTCCCAGTGCTGGAGCTGCATCAGCGCGGCCACGGGTCTTCAGAGTGCCGTCCCGTCTGCACCAGGAACTGCAGCTGGGAGAATGCGATGGAGCCCGCTGTTATTTTGGGGAGGTGCAAAGTCACTGTGCCTCGTTGCTGTGCTGTCACCATCCCTCCAGGCACGTGTTCTGCCTCGGATCGCAGGAGGACCAGCTGCTCCTTATTTCTCAGCAGGAAGTCCCTCCTGCACACTGCTGACTTACAGCTCCTGATGTTGGTTTCAAGGGTTCCAAGCTCACCTGTCCACCAGGCTGTGCACCAGAACGTGTGGCTCCACAGCAGGCACAGCTGAACGAAATGCATGTCCCACCTCAGCCGCTGTGATTCATAGAGCAGCACTTCGGCACAAACCAACCTTCATCAGCAATTAAATCAAGCATTGGAGATTCCATTTCACAAGTTGTTCCAAGTGTACCTCCCTGTGTGTGTTCCAGTAAAGGACAATCGCACCAATTCCACTGAAATCAAACCACTGGGCTTTGCAGGAGGTGCCCGCCCCATCCAGAGCAGGAGGAAGAAGCGTGCGGTAATGCAGAGAGAAATGGGCTCAGCATGAAACCACACGTGGGATTTAAGTGAAAACAACAAGGAAGCTGACTGTATAAACACGAAGCTCAGATGCCAGTGAGAGCCACACCTGCGTTTCTGTCTGCTTTAAAAGGGTGGTGATGTTTTTTTTGGTCAGACATGGACAGAGGCCCGCAGAAATGATGGAGATGTTCTCCTGCAGCTCCAGCTGTGCTGTGAGCAGGAGAGCCGTGGCCCTGTGGAGGTCACTGAGTTAAGTGCTGCTAATTCCCTGTTTGTTGACCTCAGCGAGGCAGGATTAGGGAAGGCCAGCAGTGGGAGGTGGCCTTGTGCTGCCTGCATGGCATGCCAGGAATGTGGCTGTTGGAGCACTGGTTCTGCTTGGGTCTGAAGGGGCTGCATGGGGCAGGGCTGGCCCTCAGTGCCCACTTCTTTGTGCAGAGCTGGAGGCTGAGGGCTGTCCTGAGGGCTGTCCTGGCCATGAGGCCTGGCTGAGTGGGAGAAGAATGGCTTCCTACCCCCTCACTTCCCCAGCTAATAAACGCCATTTAACTGTTTTCTTATTTTCTGTGATGGCATTTTGGTTTCCTTTAACTGGGTTCAATCACTGTCAAACTGAAGGTGTTTGAGGTTGAGAATGGTAAATATTTTTGTTCTCCAACAAGCAAACAGCTTTGTTGGCAAAACAACCGCTCCTAAATAAAACAAACAAACATCAGCCCTGAGCTGACAGCCCACCCTACAGCCAAACCCCCACAGGTCCAACTCTGCTGCCCGTGCCCAGCCAAGCTCACAGAAAAAGGCTTCCAGTATGACACCCTCAGGGAGAGCACAGACCTGGGGGCATCTGAAGGCAACCTTGGAGCAAATTACATCTGCTCTCTGAAAGAAGGGGTGGAAAAGGGCACACCCAGGACCAAACTGTGCTCAGCAGCGCGGTGCAGCGCCTACAGGAGCTACCAAACCTGTGCACAACCCAAGGGAAACATCAGTTCCATCAGAACCACGGTTGCTACCTACGTACAGACCAAACTTGCGCCTGGTGTCTTGTCTTGCATAATTCTGACCTGTGGGTCCCAGGAGTTTTCTATAACGTTCCTGTTGCACAGGCACTTCCTAGCTCCTTCACTTACTACCAGAGGAATTGTTTATCTTCTTCCACTTCAGTCTGTGCCTCCCCATCTCCTCCCACCCATCTGCTAGAGCTCTGCTTCTGGCTCTCTGGTGCATCTTCCTTTCACTACTTCCCCTCGCTTTGTTACAATTAATTCATAACATTTCTTACATTCACATCTATTACCTTTGAAAATGGCAGCCCTTTATTTTTAGCTTCAGACACCTGGGCCCCTCTGGTTTGACAAAGTCAATGTATCTTTCCCTGCCTCCTTCTCAGGAGTAGTCTCCAGAGATGTGACTGTAAAGAAATGGTTTCCATCAAAGCATACCAGGGCGCGTGGACATTGCCCCATAGAGATGCGAGCTTGTCTTCCCTCCTGCAGTGCAAAGTTTGAAAGAGCAAAAGTCAGTGTTCTCCTGCTGCTCATCTGCCTGTACTGCCTGTTATCTGCAGTCCCACTGCTGTCCTGCAGCCCCAACCTGCCTGATTTTCCACTCACTTCTTACCAGCTTTCCAGGGGAGAAAGAGATCTGAGCAGAGCTCCAGCTAATTCTTGAAATGCAAGGAGAGAATTAAGGAAGCAGGAATTCTTCAGAGATCAAGGTTAGAGGGAATTAAGATCAGAAAATAAAAGCTGAAAGTGCAGCAGGTTTCTCTGCCTGGCAGCAGGACAGAAAAGTTGCCCAAAGCTGTGGTCTGCCCATAAACAGAGAATTCTCCTCTTTCCTCTGAGTTCTATCTGTTCTGGATGAGGGACTTCAGTCTTTTCCAGCTTCACCATACTGCCCACTTTCTGCCTTTCAGAATTTACCTCTAAAATCAGAGAACAATACAGCGTGCTCTGCAAGCATTAATTGGTGGAAACTGGCAGATCTGCTTCGATGCCTGAACAAACATAAGTGAAAACCATTGAAAACCAAAGAAAATCTCAACAATGCAATGTGGTATCTGCCATCCCTCTTTCTTCCACTGCCCTGCCCTGGCACATCATAGCCTGGCCTAAAAATACCACCTGCTTGACTGCCAGAGCACTTAAACCTCTGTGCATGGTCCTTCTGTTCCCTTCAGTCCTCTTTTTTTCTTTTATCCCCTTTCTTTCTGGACCATCTATTTGTCTTATGTGGATTTTGTATTATTTTAACCAAAGTCAAACATCTCAAAAATCACAGAGCCGGAGATGGTTTTAGCAGCTTGTATTTCTTTTTAACTGACTCTTTTTTCCCCAGATGACAAAGCAGCACAGGCAGCAACGGGCTTCAGGGCTGCCTGCCTGTGCCATGATTCAGCAGTTGTAAAAGGAAGGAATGCCTGCTTTTTTGGGAGAGGGTGGAGGAGAGCAGGAAGGCATGTGTGACTGGCGTGTGTGTGTGCATCAACTTCCCAGAGCTTGTGTGATTGGAGCACGGCGTTCTGCAATCCCGCAAGTTATGCTGGAGGTAATAACCTGTTTCAAAAGAGGGACTTGGAAAGCATTTGGAACAAAGCTGCATTTTGCCCAGAGTGGAGATGGAGCGTGCTAAATTAAACATCTTTGTTACCCTTTGGAGTATTTGTTTCTAATTTAAGACACTTGGTATCTCACCTGCTGCCTGTCATTTGAGGCTGTTTCCCTGCCTATCTCTGCATCCTGCATTTGGGCTGGGCACAGCTCAGCTGACAGCGAGGCATAGGAGCCAGCTTGTTGCCTTTGGGGAAAACTGCGACCACTGGATCCCAAACTTCAGCACAAGCAGGGATTTGCTGTTTTATTTCATTTATGCTGAGCCTTATTTCCGAGCGCCGGGCCCTGCCTGCATTGTCCTAACGCAGTGGAATTTTCTCTGTGGGGAGACTTACGCTGCTGACTCACTGCATGGACTCAAAACAGATTTGTTTGCAAAGAAAACCCCTCTGCCCCTGCTGAGGGGCAGCTCCTGCTCTGCTCATCACAGCACTGCTCACGCTCAGCTCTTCCTCCCACCACCACCACAGGGACCGTTACTTCTGCATCCCCCGCCCTCTTCGACTGGTTTGGCCGTACAGACGCCGAGTCCTTCACCTTTACACGACTACTTTGCTCATTTCAGAAACGTGGCATTGCTTAAAACTCCCAGCATTACGTAAGGCCTTGAAGCCCAGTTCCACCCTCAGCCCCTCGGCGCGCTGCGTTCCCCGTCTTCCCTAAAACCCCAACTCGTGACTAAGAGATACCAGATGCACTTATTTTTTCTTAATAGGCTGAAAACGCTTTCCAACGGGTTAAAGAAACACAAGGGGCAATGAAGGTGAATGTGCTGTTTAATATAACAGCGTCCAGGCCCTTAGCAGGCTTCACCCGAGCCCCCAGCTGAACAAGCAGCTCCCAACAACCCACAGCACGAAGCGAAGCGACCCCCGCCACAAGGCCGGGCCGGAGCCCCCAGCCGTGCCCCCACCAACGAGAAATGCGCTGCGTCCCCGCCCACGTTTCAACGGCCTCCCCTCGGCCAGCCAATCGCCGCGCACTTCCTGCAACCTCACCAACCAATAGAAGCGCTCCACGAAGGGCTGCGCCGTTGGGGCGTGTTTTGAGGCGGGAGAGGCTTCGAGCGGCGGCGACATCAGCCAATCGGAACGCCGTACAGGCAGAGGAGCGAACGGGCGGGAGCGCCGTTTGCCAATGGGAGAACATAAGAGAGGTGGGCCGGGAGGCGGGGCTGGCGCGCAGTAGATAGGCGGGCGGCGGCGGTGCTGGGCGACTGGACACGTGACGGAGGTGAGGGCCGGGGGCGGCGGGCGGGGGCTGCGGCGCTGTCGGGGCTCGCGGTAAGCGCCCCTTCCTGCCCATGCACCGCGCCGAGCGGCGCCAGGCCGTCTGGCTTCGGGGCGGTGCGGGGTTCGGCGGGGCGGGCGGCGGCGACGGGGTGCCGGGCCTCGAGCGCGGGCCCGGCGGGAAGCGGGGCGGTCCTGGAGCCGCCGAGGGAGGGGTGATCGCGGCCGGGGGCTGCGGGGCCGCCCGGCTGCGTTCCGTGAGCCCAGCGGCTTCTGGTAGGTTCTGCGGCCTCTGGGCGGGCGGCGCGGCGCGGCCCGTATGGGGCCGGGCGGAACCCGGACTGCTGGGGGCGGCGGGACGGGGCGTGGTGTGATGCCGCTGTAACGGGAGGAGAGCCGGTGTGACGGAACGAGGAGGGTCCGGAACGGGGCAGAGCGGGGCCCGACGGGGGGAGTGCGGCCTAGGGGCTCGGAGCCGCTGTGCGGGGATCCCGACGTGCGGGGCCGGGCCGCTTTCAGCACTGGGCGGGGGGCTGTGCGCTCGCAGGGCTGGATCGGGGTCTGAGCAGCGTGCTTTTGAATGGAAAATCGAAGTGAAGCACGCGCAGCCCTGCGTTCCGCTCTGCTCTTCACGAGGGAACTTTCACGTGCCGTCCTGCGCTTCAGAACTTTCTAGGCGGTGGAAGGAGAAATGCTGCGGCTGATCTGGTTTGGAAGGGAAGCTGCCATGCGGTGGTGGCTGCAGTTACGGTACAGCTCGGGGCTTCAGCCATTGTGGTGTTAATTAATTAATGCTGTGCTGTTAATTAACGCTGCGGTGTTTCTGCAGAACATCATGTAAAACATACCGAGTTTGTTTGGGGTCTGTCAGGTGCCTGAGGTCTGGGCTCCAGGAACGTGATGTTTGTTGAAATTCAGTGTTACTTAATGCTTGTCAAGTAAGTAGAAATAACCCACGTGTGTTACAAGAAGATGATAGAGCTGTAGTTGTGTGTGAGATAACAGTGTTAAGAATATGGACTGAATGGAAGTGAAAATATGTTGCTCCAGAGCCACTTCAGGTGCATGAGAGTGGCTGTGAAAACATCCCTGCTGTTGATATGATTGCATTATGTGGGTTTATTCAGAATACTTAGCCTTTTTTTTAACTAAACTTGGTATTTGTTTAAGTCTTAATATTCCCACTTCACTATATATATATATATGTGTGTATGTATATATGTAATGGAGAGAATACTTCTACACACTACTTGACAAGCTGGCTGTAAGGTGCTAACTGCTTCCTAGTGTTGGCTGCCTTCCTTAGGAGAGAAGCCTAATGCAGAACAGCACGAAAGCTTGCAGCTTCTGCTAGATTGCCCTTTCATTCGGTGTGTTGGAGCACTTCCTCCTAAGTAAATGAATAAATGCTTTACTGAGAGCACTCTGTAACTTGTACTTAGTCCTTCCTTATATTTCCTTTTCTGGCCTTTCATTTTTCTGCCTCTTGCAGTGAACAAAATGGCAGCCTATTCTTGCTGGAATCAATTCTAAGCAAGGCAAACCTGAATTGATTTCTAGGCATGATGTCGAAGATCTTGAGGCACCTCCAGATCTCTCCCCACCTACCGTAATTTCTCTTGCAGTCCATCTGTTTTATGGCTAGGAAGCCTTGCAGTTCTGCCTTTGTCCTCCAAGGACTTCCAGTTCTGCAGGGATCTCTGTGCTGACAAACAGTACATGGTGTTTTTTCCCTTGCTGTTTCTGCAATGTTGTACATTATTTTTAGAAACTGGCGTATTTCAAGTGCTTATTAATGGCAAGCTTTGCTGTCACCTTTCACACCTAGTCTCTTGGTTTGTGCTCCTTGCAGCCCAACCAGGGCAGCTTTTTCTGTTGTGTGTAGGGGCTGCAGGTCTGGCTAATCTCAGGCCTGAAGTAGCAGTGTATCCTACCCACCCCCTCCTTTTTGAGGGGGAGAAAAAAAACCGAACCAACAAAACCACCCACACACAGAACTCCGGCCTGTTGAAAGCAAGGTAGGGCAGTACTGGAGTCTGTCTGACTGCAGAACTAAGCACTTAAGGGGAGAATAATTTTGTCTGCGTCGTATGAGCTGCTGTGTATGTGAACATAACTTTATTATATCCCTCTCAGAGGAGCGGTGAGATACTGGTTGCTGAAATCAGTGTTTGGCAATGAAGTTAGCTGTCTAGCTTTGCTGTGGGGTGTAGATCTCCCAGGTCTGCCTAATGAGAGTCTGTCTGACAGGCGTGGATGCCTGCAGTGTACCTGATACGATGGCATAAAGCTGCTGCTAGCAGCTTAATTTCCTTTATCCTTGGCTACTTGTCCCGCTACAGCCCTTCTGCCTTTGTGTACTGGACTGGAGAATTGATGACAGGTTAAAACAGTGTAGCAGAAGGGTTTTTAGCCATCTTAAATGGCCTGCCCTGCTCACCATCAGGCAGCTGCTGTGACACAGCAGAGGAGGCAGGATGTGGAAGGTGAAGGGATCTTGAGATGTCAGGGAGATTCCTCCACTCCTCAGTGGTTTGAACTGTAAGGAACTATTGGACTGCCTTGTAGAGTAGCCAAGTCTTGCTCAGAAATAATGACAATGTAGTTTGAAAGGAAAGAGGTGGGGGGTGAGGATGGGGCAAATATGTGTCATACTTTTGATCTCCTGGCAGTTTTGTTTGAATGTATTGACTTGTGACTGTACATCTTTCTTCCATGGCCCTTGTCTTGCATGAGGATGCATTGTGCTTATTTTTGCAGATGTGCTTCCTCCATAAATGCAGTAGCAAAGTGTGGTACTGAGCACAGGGCTTTGCTAGTAAATCTTGCTTATATAGGATCAAGTCAGTTTCAGTTGTTGATTGAGATGCTCCTGAAATAAAAGCTGATAATGCTCTTCCAGTTAAGTTTCTAAGGGTGGTTATGGTAACTTGTATGATACAGACACTTCCCTTCAGTGCTTAGCTCTGCAGTACCTTATTTTGAAAGACTTGTTTTATCTGACAGGGCTTTTTTAATAGAAAGAACTTTGTTAAACTATATCTAGCAGCAAGTCACCTGTGGTTATACTTTGTGCAATATGCAGTGTTAAGAACTGGCTCCATGAACCACTCAAATAGATGTGTAACCAAGGAGATGATTAAACTGGTTTTGCAGGCTCTGCTTAAACCGTCAGGGAAGTTACTTTATAAAGAGTACATTCTGGAAGTGTGACAGCAAGGAACTTAGACATCCTCTGCGAGGGCCCTCTCCACCGTGTCCTTCCTGCTGCATGTGGTGGTGAGAACTCTGATGTATTGATCAAGTCTTTGCAGTGTCGTGCCACTAATTAAGGAAATTAGACTTTGTGCCCAATGAAATAGGAAAAATAAGTCTGTGAAGCTGCATGATATCCTTAAGGCCTTGGAATCCAAAGGCGGCAATCCTTTGGTCCTGCACTGTAAGAGTGCAGCTGATGCTGGCTCTTCATGTCCAGTTTGGATTAGTTTTTACCAGTGTAACTCTGCAGTTCCAGGTGTCTGTTTTCAGTGGTCCCATAAATTCCAGGGGAAAATGTTTCAGCCCTCTGCCAGGAGCTGGTGAGCAGTGCTGGAGTGGCAGCGAGCTTCTGGAGTGGAAGTTGGCTGAGGATGAGTGATGTGATGGCACTGGCAGTTCTAACGCTTTCTGGTCAGTGCCCTGTGATAGCAAATGGCAGATTTTCCCTTCTCTGCGGATTGCCTGCTGATGTTTAGGAGTGTCTGAAGACCTTATTTAAGAAAGAAAGTTCTTACCTCTGACTTGAAATGGTGATGTACTGAAAATGGCAGTTGCTCTCTGGGTGAGAGACCTTCTGAGCTCACCTGTTACAGAGGGCTTCTGTGTTGTTAAATGCTTGGGGCAGCTGCGTGATCATTGCACCACCGTTGGGAGGTGCTGTATGGTGGAAACTGAAGAACAGAAGTGCAGGGAGAGCATCAGAATTGGAAGCTGGGCTCTATCTGCAGAGGAGGAATTGGATCTTAGTGCAGTTGGTGGCTGTGCTTCTGAAGACTGTGTGCCTACACCTGTAGTTGCTGGTGGCTCAAAGCTCTGCTGGAAATTTGTTTTCAGAGTATCTTGTGTGAAAATGACTCCTATTGCCTCCAGTTTAGGAGTAGCCTGATTTACTACAGTATCATCATCTTGGTTGTGTCTCCAAGGATTGTGTGAAGTTGAAACTTTCTTCTGTAGCAGCGCCTGTTACAGATGTAGCTTTAAAATATCACAAACGTGTGCTTCACTTTGGGTGTTCTCAGGACAATTCCGTATAGTTTAATGTGTAATGTTGCAGATGTTGCAGGGAAGCCTGACCTGACAAGTGGCAGCACTGGAGGTGCTCCCAGTCTGTGCTGGGTGTGTGAGTGGATCGTGGGCAGAATTTGGGAATGATTTCATACGTAGAAGAGAGCTGTGTAGGATGCCCTTGTGAAAACTGCTTTCCAGTCATTATAAAGAAGCAAAGATAGAAAAGTGAATTAACTAAAACATAGAGATTTTAGCTTTTTTAATTAAAAGAAATAAGCTATGGGAAATTTGAGTAGATTGTACTTGCAGCCTGAAATGAGTTTCCCCAAGCCTCCAACTCAGCAGGGTTGGCTATAGGAAATGGGAAGCTGTGGGGTGGGTCCCTGTGGTTGCATCAGGAGCACTGATGTGCAGAGCGAAAGAGCTGCTGCCTGTGCTTTGTGGGCTGTTGGTGGACCTGACTGGTTCTACCTGACTGCTGTGATAGAATTTCTGGAGCAACCTTGCATGCAGTGTCAGGCTGTGTGGCCTTGTCACTTAGCCAAGCAAGAAGCGCTTTTACCAAAGTCCACTGACCACAGACAGGTATTTCTCAAGGGCTCTAGTTGGGGTGGGATGATAATATAGGTAATAACTCCACAAGGAGTCTGTACTGCTGTGAACGTTTGGGGGCTGATCTGTATCTTTAACCCAAACTTCCACTGCTGGTGGTGAGGTCAGCAAGGGGATTGCTTATGTGCTGAGATGCTGACATCCTCTGCACGGGCCTGGGAGGAGAGGAGGCATGCGGAATAGGAAAGCACTGTCTTTTAACCTTGCTGTATTTTTAAGAAGCACTTTTTCGTCACTCTCCTGAAACAGTGCGGTGGTGGCTCCATCTGCGTGATAGAACTTGAAAGCAGTTACAAAACTTGGAGTAAAATTCTACTAAATCTAGCCCTGCTAGGAATGTGTTTGGTAAGGCAAGACAAAACTCAGCCTTACCTTGGAAGGGCATCCCTGTGCCACCTCACCCGGAGTCCCTTCAGTCACACAGGGCACATCCAGAGCTTTAACAGTTGCTTCTTCACAGATGTTTCAGGCTCTTGTTTTTTCTCCTCTTCTGGCCCTGCTCAGAGCATGCTGTCTATGCAAGAGAATTTCAGCCTCTGTTGATTCTGATGTTTACTTGACAGCTTTTGTTCTTTGGCTTTGTATTGTGGTGCCCAATTTGCAGTAAGATCCGGGTGCCTCTGTGTGGTCTGTAACTTCTCATCTGACTGTACCACGTGCATGAAAAAAAACACCAAGCACAACAGGCTTTGCTTATATGTAGGAACACTAAAAGTTTGTGTCAGCTGTTCATGCTGTGAGCCGATTCCTTTTGGCTTCGAGCTGTTTTGGTGCAGTTGCCTGAGCTGTGGGGGAGGGCTGTGGGCATGGATTGAGAGCATAATCCTCGAGGCCATCACTATTGTTAGGGAACAGGCTGTGACTGCACGTTGCTGTAGTGACAAACTGGACGTGACCTCAACACGAGTCTCTAAACTGCAGTTGGAGAAATAAAACATCCCCTCTGTCATTAGAAGCAAGTTAAAGAATAAAAGAATGGTATATCTAGCATGCAGTGGAGTTGTGGTATACTGGATAGTGCTGATAAGCTGCTGAGACTGTAAATGCTTTTAGCTGCCTGAACATGCTTTGGAAAGTAGGAAATTGTTTTCTAGCTCAAACTTGGGCCCCTACAGGCCTTATTAACTCTTCTTGAGTTATGTTTGTAAGTTTGTGGGACAGCAGCCTGAGGCAGGAATGTATGGGAAGGAGGGAATGTTTAGCTTTATAATCTCGTTCTAGAAGGAATTAGTACAGTATCCAGCTACAACTCTGTGGAAAAAAGTATTTGGAATGTAATTGAAAGGGGCAGATTTTCTGCTTGCTGTGAGCATTGCCCATCTGTCTTTGGTGCAGATAAAATGGTGAGCAGCGTGGTAGGAGTCTTGCTTTCTACATCCACCTAAAGGTGCAGTGGTTGAGTCGTTCTTTTTATCTATCATTTTACTTGCAGAGATCTTTTGAGCTTGAGTTTGTCAAGGTCTGCTATGTTTTAGTTAAGATGATATGCTGGGCATCCCATGAATTAGTTGGTGTGATGTTTTATTTCTATAAGATTTCTGTATTAGATTTTTCTGCTTTGATCATCCTGTTAAATTAGAGATAAAACTAACTGCTGAACAGTGCGAATTCTGGGTCTGCTTCAATATCCAGCTGCTCATAGACATCTGCTGAGTAGTATCAGTGACTGTTGGCAGTCTGTCTAGAAGGAAGCATGGGGAAGGGGTCTGATGGATGGAGGTAATGGTGTCCTGTGTATGAAATCAAGAAAACTATTGGACCGAGGTAGAAGATGGGTTGCTTTGTAGGTGCTTGAAAGAGGTAGCTAATATTTAGGAACTGAATAGAAATACCAGTGTCAACCTGTTGCCTTTAGAGTTCCTCACAAACAACAAGTAGATTTTCCTGTTCAGATTGCTTAGATGTGTAAGTTGTGTTGCAGACGTGCGTCTGTTCTTTGTGTGGGCTGTGGCAGTGGAAGGACAATACTGACACTTCTGCAGCACGACCTGCAGAGCTTGTCCATGTGCTCCTCCAGTGCACTAGCATCTCTTTGTATTAAAAATACCTTGAAGTCGTATGTCTTTCCCACTTTCTGAGCTGTCTTAACCAGCCAGAAGCAATAAATAGTAGAGCTGAGAAGGTAAGTTTGTACCTCTTTCAGTGGTGTGACTTGGTGCCCCACCTGCTGCCAGAAAAGCTTGTTCTCTCAGCTGAGAAGCTGCATGTTGCGCGTGTGTGTGCTGGCTTAACCTCTTTCCATTTCTTATTTATTCAGATAATGGAGATGAAATGGCTGCTGTATGTGACACTGCTAGCTCTTGGGACTCTTGCTGCCCAGGAGCATGATGTGGGTGATGATGATGGTGATGATGTCATTGATATTGAGGATGACTTGGATGATGGCGTTGAGGATGTAGAAGATTCAAATCCTGAAAGCAGCACTCCTCCTCCAGCTCCAAAGGTTTGGCATAGGTGTTCTTGAAAATGCAATTACTGCTTGTGTTTTGACTGCTGTCAGCCTGATCAGAGTTACCTTTACTTTGCTGAAACTTAATGTGTAGTGATGCTGTTAAAAATCACTAGCATGGAGTAGGGTTTGGGATTAAGCTTAGTTGCTTCCTTGCTATTCTTATTTGACCTGCATCTTCTTCCTCAAAAACTTCAGTGAGTATTTGAAAACTGGTGTAATTACCAGGAATTAATGCTGAAGCTTCCAGCTAGATAAAATCTTCAGTTTTTGTTGCAGAGGAGAGCACAGTGGCTCAGTGTAAGCAGCAGTGTTTACATCATTTCTGTATTTATGGTGCCAGAATGTTTTAGGTACTGTGTAGATGTAGGATTTGAGCTGTATATGCTTGTACTGCTTTAGAGAATGTGCCTTGAAGGGTACATAAATGCCTCTCTGTTTCCCTAGGTTACTTACAGAGCGCCAGTCCCAACTGGCGAGGTGTATTTTGTAGAGTCCTTTGATAAAGGAACTCTGGATGGGTGAGTAAAATGTGAGGGCTGGCTGAACAGACAAAATCCAACTATTATGGGGAAGGGAGTTCCTACTGCCTGTTATTGAAAATAAACAGGCAACACGTGGGGAGGATTACAGCAGTGACTGTGGTCCTGGCTGTTGAAGTGATGAGATAAACTAGTTTTTGCTTGGGTACTAGTAATAACAGGAAGAGAAGTCGTATTTTATGTATGCTTTAACCTTTATCACCTGACTTTGTGTACTTGCTTCAGGTAATGTAAGCATAATGAGGTATTAGAAGCTTGAATATTGGAATTTTTACAGAAGAGAGACTGAGGCAGAGAGTGATAAAGATGAGAACTTCACAGGCTTGCTATGGAGCTCAGGGGATCGAGACACTGGGGTGTAGTCATAGGACAGCAAAGGCTATTTTAACAACAGGTTTTTTGTGTGCGTGGTGAAAAAGTGTAAGTTTCTTACTGTTGGATTCTTGTCTTCTAGATGGATCCTTTCCAAAGCCAAAAAAGATGATACAGATGATGAAATTGCTAAATATGATGGTAAGTCCTATCCATATTTTGACTGATGGATACTCATGATGTCAGTTTGCCTTATGCAAAGAAGAGCTATTAGTCTGTTCTGCTTGCTCCTTGAAATTACGTTCATTTGAAAAAATGGGAGAATGTGTACATGGTTAACAATACAAAGCACGATCCTGATTCAGGTAAGATTCAGATACAATTTCCACTTTGAGGTTTTAAAATAATTTTTAGTGAAGACGTTCAGCCCATTAACTTGAAGGCACCCTGCACAAAGTCAGTGATGACTTTCTTGCTTAGGATTGGGCTGAGGCGAGATTGTATCAAATGGATTCTGATAATATTTGGTTGATTTTCCTCCAGGTAAATGGGAAGTCCAAGACATGAAGGACACTAAGCTTCCAGGAGACAAAGGGCTTGTATTGGTAACACGAGCCAAACATCATGCAATTTCATCCAAGCTTTCAAAGCCTTTTGTATTTGATACCAAGCCCCTTATTATACAGTAAGTAAAAGATAACTTAGTGTTCTATCAAGGGTGACATGATAGCAGGCTGGGGTTCATTTTGTGACTGAGCTTTTGTTGGCTGTGGGGGGTCTAGATGACACAAGATAGACTGTAAGGTATCATTATACAATTTGAGTAGGAGCAAAATAGCAATCCGGATTCCTCAAGTGGGAAGTTAGGAACAGAGTGGCCCCCTCTGAAGCCTGAGGAAAAAAAGTAGTCTCTGAAAAATAGAGTTGGTAATTAGTCTCTGGACTTGTATTTCTTGTACTCAGCAGAACAGGCAACTGATTTCTGTACTGTTGATTATAGATGTCCATGTCCACTTGGACAAGAGCTTGTCTGTATGTCACTGTGTTTATTCAGTGAAGTGCCCCCTGTTTCGAAGGGGGAGTGCGCAGAGGGTTAAGGGTGCACTTGTTTCCACCTTCCTTTGTTCTCGTGCATCTGCTGAGGAAGATGAGCAACTTGTCTCGCTCTACTGGGCCATGAGTGATGTGGAGGAATCTGCTTGCAAGCATGTTAGACTAGTAAGCAGGAAAAGAATCTTTCAATGACAACAGTTGAATTGTGGGATATTACCTGAGTTATCAGTTTTAAACAGGCAGTGAGCTAGTTCATATTTGTACAAGATAATGAATTGGTCACTTTACTTTGCATTACTGTTTAGTTTTGGCTCACAATGCATGGCTAAAAATAAGTTGAAGTGGTCATTCACTTCAGCTGCTGGCATTGAGAGAGGTTTGAGCATGCTTAGCCTATTCCTGACAGACATGCTTTGCCTTTTTCAGACTCCTTGGCATCTCTAAATATACTATTGTATGCTTACAGCCCTAAAGGGAGTTCTGCTCGGATCCAACTGCTTGCTTCAGTCATCTTGCAAATTGAGTTGTCTGTCTGCCATCGTGGTTGTGTGGAAAATAATTGGTTCCTCTTAATCTCTGTTGCAGTCTCTTACATACTTGAAAAACCTTTTCTTCCCTCTACTTCTGGATCACAATCTTCTAGATTAGTGCTTAATTCTTTTCATCTTTTCTGTCAGGTTAAGTCTTTTAAATCTTCAATTCTGCTCTTTTCTCAGGCCCTCTTGAACATCTGCTTAGTCTCTAGAGTGCAGCATGTGTTTTTAATATTCACTCTTAATTTGAAACAAACAAAACCAATATCGTCTTACTCTGCAATTTTCAAGTATAAAATCAGTCACGTATTATGAAGGTAAATGTTGCTTGTGTATAACATGTTCTTCACTTCTCTGTCCAAATAAGGTATGAAGTAAATTTCCAAAATGGAATAGAGTGTGGCGGGGCCTATGTGAAATTGCTTTCAAAAACACCTGAATTGAACCTGGTGAGTGCTGCTAATGCTGTCATCCATGGAACAAGGCAACAAAGCTTTTTTATTTTTTAGAGAAACCATTTTGGTAAAGGCAGTGGGGCACATTTAGGGCCTGATCTTCAAAGTACTTTGTGCTCATTGATTTCCCAGTATTTTCAGCTGGAGATGAGAAATACTGAAGTTTTCTGGCCTCTTGACTACATGTAATACCCAGAACTTGGGTACAAGTAGAACTTCACTACGTGCCCAGAAGACTACTTGGCTATCTGGCCGGTTTCATGTATGCATAGAATCTCAAGATACCATTAAGCAGAACAAATAGACTTGCAGTTATTATATTTAGTTAAGTCTGAAATTGAAACAGTATATACCAGCTTGTGTATAAAAGAAATACATCTCAGCTCCACTTTTAATACTGCTTATTCTTTATGTGAAAGAAATTCACTGGACTGGCTAATAGTATCTGATATTTCTGTTAGTGGCTTTCTAGTCATTTTTGTAGTGTAGGGATTTGCTTAAAACGTACATAGTTGTCACTGTGTAATGATTTACTTACCTTGTTAATAACACTTGTACAGCAATTGTTTTCCATCTGGAAAGTAGAGATGAAAGATGCCAAATAACGATGGTAGGCTAATTCTGGTCTTCTCTCTGGAAGCTTGTAATGGTGATGTGAGTTTTAGTCTGGGAACCTCACTGCCTTTGATACTGAGTCGCAGAACAGTTTCTAATGCACTGAGGGTTTTCAGGGTAGGCATTATCTGAAGTTGTATTTCAAATCAATAGCATTAAGTTTTGCATTGTTTTTAAAGGATCAGTTCCATGACAAAACTCCATACACGATCATGTTTGGCCCTGACAAATGTGGAGAGGACTATAAACTGCACTTCATCTTCCGGCACAAAAACCCAAAGACTGGCAAATATGAGGAGAAGCACGCGAAGCGTCCAGATGCAGACTTGAAGACCTACTTCACTGACAAGAAGACACACCTTTACACACTGGGTATGTTGACTGCTAGCTGCTATTCACATTAACAACTACTTCTGTTTTCTGAGTCAAAAACTCAGTGAACAGATGAACAAACAGATCTTTGTATGAATATACCATGCAGCTAGAGGCCACTTTATGAAAGTTATGAATGCAAAAGCTAGTCTTAGTACATAAAGGATTGCTGCTTCCTTGCTAGAAGTTTTGATTCGCTTAAAAAGTCATGAGATCTTGAACTAAACAGATAAAGGAGAACTGTATTTCAGAGTAGCTGTTAGTGACTTGGTATGATAAGTATTCCTGTCACTGGTTATATTTAGACATCATGGGAAAGGTTCTTAATTCTTAAAAGGAGTTGCTAGGTAGATGGTAGCTGGGATTAATGAAGTTTGAATTGTACAGCAGGAATGAGTGATACTTCAAAGCACACCTTCTAACTTCTGTGCAATGGCCGTACTTATTTTTCTTTCCAGTTTTGAATCCTGATAATAGTTTTGAAATTCTGGTTGATCAAATGGTTGTCAACAGTGGGAATTTGTTAAATGATATGTCTCCTCCTGTGAATCCACCCCGAGAGATTGAGGACCCAAATGATCAGAAGCCTGAGGATTGGGATGAGAGACCCAAAATCCCGGATCCAGATGCTGTTAAACCAGATGACTGGTAAGGTGTTGGAAGAGTGGAAGAGAGGGAGGTCTTGGCGTGGTAACTTCAGCCTATCAAAAGTCCTCTAATGACATACAGAATTCTGAGTCTCACACTTGTGTAAACCTTTAGTTACAAGTTGGTTTAGTAGCAGTGCAGTAAATAAAGGTAGAAAGGATTGATGTCCTATAGGAATAACTGTTCTTGTGCTGCCCACAGATAAAGACTACTGAAAACATCTATGTTAGCCAATGTGCTCATCTCTAATTTGCTTAAATGACAGGATGAAGGTATAAGTTGTTTGTGTAACGCGTAGTTAAGTGACTGAAATACCTGACAGCCTAGGGCAGAAGCTGGTACTGATTTTTTTGTTCTCGAGCCTGTGCTCTATGAATCACAGACTTGACTGCAAGCTCAAATACATGTTTCCAGTGACCAGTGGGGATCTGGGATTTGCTGTAATGTGCCCTTTCTAGATTAGCATTAAAAAATACTCTGTATTGGCTGGAGCTCTTGACTGTGCTTTGAGGTATCTGCAAGGTAACAGACTGCAAGTTAAAACATGGTGTTGTGTTCAGAAGTGAAGCTGGCTGATAAATCAGTGGGCTTGCTGAAAGTCTCAGAATCTTGCTTCAGGGTTGGGAATTTTTTTTTTTTTTGCATATTGTGTTAATATATTAAATGCCATCTTTAAGGGATGAGGATGCTCCTGCAAAGATAGCAGATGAAAATGCTGTGAAACCAGAGGGCTGGCTGGATGATGAGCCAGAATACGTAGCAGACCCTGATGCTGAGAAGCCTGAAGATTGGTACGTTTACTGTGTGTTATGTGACAGGTGTTTGGGTTCTGGTTTTGACAAATACAAGAATAACTGGTTTATTGTTGTTTGCTAAGAAAGTTGTCAATTTAGGCATTTTCTTTCAAAAGTGGAAGATGGAATTAGTCTAAGGAATTTTGTGTTCTCTCATTTATCTGTGTACTGGTGAACTGTTCTGTTTACATTGCAAGCTGAACAGGTCAAGGATGTTCATCTTCCAGTTTTACCATTCTGGGGACTAGCTTTCACTGAGCTTCAGTGCTTTCAAGCTACTTCTTGAGATACTTCTCTTTCTGCAGGGTCATTATCTGTGGAATTGTTACATTTAGTTTCAATATCTCCATTTTAAAGTAGGAATTTTAATTTTCCCAAAATTGCATATGCTCCAAGTTTTAGTCTGTTTAAGGGGACGGACCTGAAGGCTGGGTTTCTCTTTCAGGGATGAGGATATGGATGGTGAATGGGAGGCACCTCAGATTGCAAATCCAAAATGTGAATCAGCTCCTGGCTGTGGAACCTGGCAGCGACCAATGATTGACAATCCAAACTACAAGGGCAAATGGAAACCTCCTATGATTGATAATGTGAACTATCAGGTTGGTTTTATCATTGTATAAACTTCTGGCCAGCGCAGTGCTTCTTTTCCAAAAGTCAGAGTAATTATAAGTTCAGCAGATGTCATTAGTATTAAAAAATATTGTTATCTTTCTATGTTTTCAAGTGAACTGTTTCAAAGTGCTTGCTCTCTTGGCTTCACTTTTTTGTAACACTCATGAAACTTGATTTCCCAAACCTGTAGAGTCACACCTATAAACATTATAATTTGGTATAATGAATTGTTCTTCCTAGCTGAAATGGACTGAAAACTAAAAATGCAAACTGTATACCTGTAGGTAAGGCTTGAATATTTTTTGTCTTTTGTAGGGGATATGGAAACCCAGGAAAATCCCAAACCCAGATTTCTTTGAAGACTTGGAGCCTTTCAGGATGACTCCCTTCAGTGCTGTGGGACTTGAGCTATGGTCAATGACATCTGATATCTTTTTTGACAACTTTATCATCTGTACTGAAAGAGCTGTGGCTGATGATTGGGCCAATGATGGATGGGGACTGAAAAAGGCAGCTGATGGTGCTGCAGAGGTGAGAAACGAAGGCTTAATTGTGTGCTTCTGACTGAAACAGCACTGCTGATATTTTGGTCCAGATTTTATCAGTGTTGATCAATACGTATCTTTAGGTACCAAGGCTGGGGATTCATAAAGCTAATTAGAACCTTTAATTTGTAGTTACAATATGGTAATTTACTATTAATGGCAGTGAGTGTTCACTATTCTTGAGTGTTTTTGCTTTGACAGTTCTGCTAACTGTATGCTAATTCTTAACTTATAAACAATGGAAAAAGTATAAAAAGCTTTAGCTTTTTGAAGTATTAAATGCCATGTTTGGGGATGCAGGAAACCTATTTGAAAAAATTTGTTACAGACTTAACTGCTGTGACTTGCTGGGTTTTAATGGTTCATTGTACCTTACAGCCTGGTGTTGTGGGCCAGATGATGGCAGCTGCTGAAGAGCGTCCTTGGCTTTGGGTAGTGTACATCCTCATTGTGGCTTTCCCAGTGTTCCTTGTTGTTCTTTTCTGCTGCTCTGGGAAGGTATGCATTTCCTCTGATAATAAGTATAGTATTTAAGAAGTGATTCAGTGTAATGTGCCTTAACTTTACAACTAACATATTTTTTTTTTAGAAGCAGCCAAGTGCTGCGGAGTACAAAAAGACTGATGCTCCTCAGCCTGATGTGATGAGTGATGAGAGAGAGGAAGAAAAAGACAAAGGAGACAAGGAGGAAGAGGAGGTGGCAAGTGAGGAGAAGCTAGGTAGGCAAAATAGTGAATTGTGAGATAAATGGAGTTCTCAATCTGAAAGAACAAAAGAGCAAGATGGGCAGACATAATATCAAGCCAAAGGTGAACTGAAGGTGCAAATCCTAATGACAAGAAAATGAATGAGATTTCTTTCCCCTCTTCTTTAGAGGAGAAGCAGAAAAATGATGCTGACATAGGAAGTGCTAGTCAAGAGGAAGAGGAGGAAGAAGAGGAAGGGGAGGACAGGAAACGTGCATCAGAGGTAAGAGAACACTTGATTTTTTTGAGGAAAGCCTTTTTCTATACCAATAAAAAATCCACAAGCTTAGCTAACCTGGTTCATATGGTGCTCCTTTCCAGTGTCAGAACTCCAGAGAATTTAATCCCTCGCAAAACAGGAATTGCTGTGGCCAACCTCAGCAAAGCAGGGAACGTTGTGAAAGGAAGGCACTTGCCATAGACCCTGCATTGTGGGAAGACTAGGATTGTGTGGAATGCATCATCTTGAGGCAAAAGGCTCATTCAGCTTTGTGTGTAGTCAGGATGTGACCTTTTAAGTGCTCCACACTGACATAATGGCTGACTTAAAAATGGGTGGAGTGTTCCTTGAACTTGAAGGGATTTGTGCAGCTGCAGCAGTACTTTGAGCAAATAACATAAATTCACTATGAAAATAAGGATTTGTCTACCCTGCATGGAAAGGAAGGTGTAGTAAGAGCAAGAGATCCTTTTAAAATCAAATTGTAATGTAGAGTTGCAGAAGTAAGTTGTTTGTAGGTTTAAGTGGCTTTCAGGAATAAAGTTAGATTGCCTTAATGTTTTCACACCTCAATTTCTTGCAGGAGGAGGAAACTGTGAATAGATCACCCAGAAACAGAAAGCCAAGGAAAGATTGAAAAAAAAATAATCATAAGAACTTAATCTGTGTGAATTTTTTTCCAAAACATGGTTCTGGGAGAGGACCTTGGACACCTTACATTGAAACTTGGACAAACCTCAAGATTTCACCATCCACAGGTTCCAGTCACACTATCCAATGTAATGGAGTGTCTAGCAGTAAAATACTTGCAATCCATCTGTTATAAAGAACATCATTCCTGTAGAAAGAATGCATTTAATATAATGGGCTGTGGATTTTGGAATGTAACATGACTAACCTTTTCACTTTTGGTTTTAAATATTTTTTTTCTGTTTTTATGTAGATTGGTAGAATTTTACCAGTCTCGTATCTTGGCTTAATTTAATATGTTAATTAGTGAAGAATAACAATGAATCTTTAAATACTAGATGATAAAACAAAAATGCAGTTTCATAACTAGTGTTTTTTTTTTTTTTTTTTTTTTTTTTTTTTTTACAAATGTGCAAACTCCTTTGTCATGTCTTTCTATCCCAAAAAATTTGGTAATTATTTGAAGAAAAGTTTTCAGTATATTTGAAAATTCCTCTTCCCTCAAAAGGGGAAAAAAAAAAAGGGGAGGAGAGGAGATCATGTGTGGGGGAAACCAGTAGTTAAACTTTGTTCCTGGTGGGAGCTGGGAGGGAAGAGGAAGGGGTTGGTTGGTCAGTCTATGGAACATGCCCTCTGTGCATGGCTAAAGCCCAATTAAGTGTTGACAAATGATGTAGGATTTGGAGTGGGTTGTCTTAATGTGGCATTTAATCCTGCAGACCTTACAGTTAATGGATTTTGTTAGTTCAACTCTTTGTAAAATTAACAGGTGGTTGGGGGGCACAGGGGTGGTGCTGGACTGCTCTCCCTCTTCCCCTCTCTTCAGCCACTGATACTTTCCTTTCTCTGTGACTACACAGCTTTTTCTGAGTGCAGCTTTGCCTCAATTGCTGGAAGTGCTTCATGTTCAGCTCATTGTCAAACTCTTTTATTTTTATGGCTAGGCCTACTCCAGGGTCCAAGCACTGGATAGGACAGTGTCTCATATCCTCACTGTTATCACTGTATGTATTCCTATAGGAATGGGAGAAATGATTGATAGAGAAGTTGAACTGAGTATTTAATAAGGAAAAAATCCCAAGATGTCAGTATTTGTAGGTGGGGAAAGAAGCATGTGGAATATCTTAAGTGGTATGTGAAACTGTTAAGTCTTTCATCTGCTTTTCATGTAACAAATGCATCCTAAATTATATTGTGAATGTTAGGGAGTTTCAATTCCAGCTGAATAAATTTTTTTTAAAGCGTCGTGTCTACATATTATACTGTTTCAAACACTTGTGGAATGCTGGTGGTCACTACAAGAGCATACCTCTGAGGGTGAAACTGACTTCATCACACTGTACCAAATATGTTGGGGTTCAGATGTCTATACAGATAAGCTTTTGTTTGTTTAGAGTGAAATTAAATGTCCTGAAATTACTTCTCTTGCACTGAATTTAAACACTCCAGTGTTTGGTCATAGCTGTAGTATGGGGAATAATTCCCAGGGGCTGTGGGGTGGGGGTTGGGTGCTCCAAACCTTGCAAACAGTCTAATTACTAAAGGCTTGGGTTTTTTGTTTGTTGGTTTTCTTTTCTTTTGTACAAACACCTTTTGCTGCCTGTCCTTACGTTGTACCCCTCGTTTGTTGTGTTTGAAATATTAGTGACCACAAATGCATAGCAGGATTTCTCGATAATTTTTTTCAGCAGTGTGCAAATAAACTATTGTAAGCAAGATACTGGAAGTAATTTCAGACTTCTGTTGGGAGCTATTGCATGTTTAGAATGCCTTTGCCTGTTGAACACCGGGTAAATACTGCTCCTGACTGCCAAAATAGCTTATACTCTGACATGGGAGATGTCATAGCTTAAGCATTGCTATTAGCTTGTTCTCAGGGCTGTACTTCTATCAAGGAGCAGCTGCTATTTATGACTCAGTCCGTTGAGATGATGTGTATGTAAATGGTTTCGATTCAGCTAACATTTTGAGCACAACATAATTCTACTAATCCAATGGTTTTTATCTTAATATGCAAATTGCCTTAAACTCCCAAACAATTCATGTGCATACGTGTTCTTTCCTAGCATCACAATGGGACTTGAGATCTGCTGTCAGCTTCTAAAATAATACTAAGGCGAAATGTAAGTCTACATTTGCTTTGCTGAATCTCTGAAGAGGTCTGTCTGCATGCTATGGCTTTTTTTTTTTTTTTTTTTTATTCCATAGTGTATGCTTAAATAATCACTACAATAAATTAAGACTTTCTGAAACAGCTAGAAAATGCAGACGTCACTTCTTACCCTGCCTTCTGCATGGGGCTGCTGCGTTCAGCCTCAGCATCGCTCTGTTACAGGAGGAAAAGACGGCTGTGTAAGCTGAACTCGTCTGGGCTGAGGGAAGGGATGTGGTTCTATAGATGATAGAGAACAGAAATGCTAAAATGGCTTTTTCTCCTAGCACTGCTTTTCAGAGAAGAGTTGATGTAAGTAGGAAGTAAGGTGGTGTTCTGGCTGGGGCTCGTAGCAATGCATCCTGGCTTGTTGCTGTGATGCACTGAAATGTAGTCGGATCGCCTGCTTCAAGCTGGGCTTCTGCGTGCCTCAGGTCATCTCTTATCTCCTGTGATCCCGTGTACTGGGTTCCTGTGGGACTCGAGGTGAGTCCAAGTTAGCTCTGCTACCGCGGGGGGGGGGGGCGTGGTTGTTCTTAATGCTGCAGAAGCGGCGTGGGGTGAATTATTGCAGGAAGGCGCTTTCCTTGTTAATTGGCCGAAGTTTCAACCCTCGGAATGAAATCCTGGCGCGCCCGCCCTGAGCCCCCGAGCAGCGGAGCCCCGCCTCCCGTCAATCACCGCATGCTTCCCCCTTCCGCTGTCCTGATTGGCTGCGCCGTCTTCGCCCCACCTCTTTTCTTCCCGTGCCTTTTAAACGCGCCGCAGCCCGCCCCCTGCCAGGCGCTCTCTCCTCCTACGCCTTGGCCGCGTCCCTTCGCGCCTCCGCGCCTTCCTATTGGCTGAGAGCGCCGTCCCTCACGACTCGTGACGCGCGGCGCGCCGTGACGTCGCCCGCCACCCAGGAAGCTCCGCCTATTTATTCTCAACTCGGCTCTTGAGGGGAAAAACAATTTCAAGATGGCGGCGGCGCGGATAACAATGGGGACTCGGGGCTTCGGGCCGGCCCGTGCCTGAGAGCGGCGGCCAACCGGCCGCGCCGCGCCGGGGAGGGAGCGGAGCGGGCTCCGGCCGGACCCCCGGGGGCGGCGGGCAGCGGCCGCCGGGCAGGGCTGAGCGGAGAGCGGGGGAGCGAATCGGCGCCGGGCTCGGGAGAGAAGGAGGAAGTGGGGAGGGGGGGAGCGAGGCGGGCGCCGGGCCGGGGGCGGGAGGAGGAACCGGGCCGGGGGGCCCAGGTGAGGCCGGCGGGCGGGGAAGGAGCGGCGAGGCCTCGAGGAGGGCCATGTCGAGGCCCGGCGTGCGGAGCCGGTGAGCGGCGGCCTCCCCTCGTCCCTCCGGTCCATGGTGCTGCCCTCCTGCCCCATGGCGGAGTTCGTGGTGCCGCGGCACAGCGCGGTGATGGAGCGGCTCCGCCGGCGCATCGAGCTCTGCCGGCGGCACCACAGCGCCTGCGAGTCCCGCTACCAGGCCGTGTCCCCGGAGCGCCTGGAGCTGGAGCGCCAGCAAACCTTCGCCCTGCACCAGCGCTGCCTGCAGGCCAAGGCCAAGCGGGCCGGCAAGCACCGCCAGCCGCCCCCGGCCCCGCCGCCCCCCGCGCCACCTCCGCCCGCAGCGGCCGTCGCGGGGAGCGCCGAGAGGAGCGGAGCCAACGGCCTGGACGGAGAGGCGGCGAGTGGAGAGCAGCACGGCCGCGGCAGCACGCTGATCGCGGTAAGGCGCTGCTCGTGCCGCGCTTGGGGCTGTCAGGGTGTCACCTCGATAAGGGCGCGTGTGTCGCTGAGGGGGGAACTCTGCCAGCGTGGGCTTTGCTGTGTCTTGGAAAGAGGAGAAGAAGAGAGGCAGTGCTTGTTTGCCACCCGCTGCAGTGGGTGTGAGCGCTGTGGGAGTCCCACTCCACCCATTACAGCCTGGCTGAGCAAAGAACGCGAGTGTTTCCCTGGCCTCCTTAGCGCTGCTGGTTGTCAGGGCATGTGCACGCGGCCACGGCTGTGTGCCTATCTGGAGAGGCCGCTGCTTAACTTGCCCCGAACCCTATAAATGTCGTTAGCCTTTAAACGCTCTGCTGGTGTGTCAGCAATGTAGGTTAGTAGGGTGACCTCGCGCAGGCTGCCCCTCCTAATGCCTGTCCTTCTCCAGGGCACCCATTGCTAAACGTTGACCTTTGTGGAAATGATACAGTACTGCTTTGAATTTCTTTACGAGGGGATGGTGGGTTAACCCGATGCATTTTCAAGTTACTGCATAGGTAAATCCTATTTTTAAAATTGTCTGCTTGCTCAGTCACAGTAAAGAAGAGAATGTGGTTCTCTGCTGCCCTCGGCTTCACTTAGTTACAGTTTTTAAAACAGAATCATGACAGAGCTCACTGAGTGTTTGGGTATGACTGTGCATGATGTGGGATTGTGAGACACAGCACGCAGATGTCAGCTTTCATGTAGCGCTGGGCAGCACATACCTGGTTGTAGACTTTGCAGCATGAGCTGAAAACATTGCTTAGCTAACTAGCTGCTGTATCGTGTGTGAACCTAGGATACTGACTGTATTGAAGACCAAAGCGTTTGTGATAGTTTGAGTGCTTCAGATGGTTGTTAAAGAAGAACCTTTGAGGATGAGAAGAAACTTTCTGCCATCCTGGCAGTGATTCTGTAGCACTTAAGCAGGCACTGCTCTTTGCTGGGCTGATCCTGAGTGTAACTTGGTGTCAGAACACAAATCTCTCAAACTCTTTTTTATTTTCCAGAGATTTGATGGGGTTTCTGTTTGTTTCCTGTTTGGGCTGTGAAGCATTCTGTGTCTGGGGCTCTATGCATATTTGTGTAGCTCACTCCACAGAACTCTTTAGTATGTCAAATCCTGTTGCTTAAAGTGCCACCGTGCTCTTTCATACCGATCCTTGAAAAGAAAGATGTCCTTGATTCGTTGGTGTTGTTTCTTTTAAATCGCTTTGGATGTGGATTTGATCTAATTAGCATCCATTATAATGAGGGCTCTCAGCAGCAGTGTGGTTTTGAAATACAGTGCACATCTGGGGAAGCCCTTCTTGTTCAGGAAGCTGCTGCCAGTGGCCAATTTACACAACAGAAGAGGGTTTTAGTGTATGAATGACTCCTCCTCGTGCTGGCCTGCTGTTTCCTTCCTTGGATACATGACTGTAAGCTTAATTGCAGCTGCTGATTCATCATCTCGTTACTAGGGTATAAAGTTAGTTAACGCTTTTGAAAAAAAAACCAAAACACCCCCCAAAAACCAGAAACTAACAAGAAACCTCCGCTGCTGGTTTTGTTCCTTTGGCACAGGAGATCTTTCTCTCCGTTGGCGTTTTACCTCTGGCTGTACCCGTGGCTGAGGAGCAGCTCTTATTGAGATCAAATGTGTCTGTGCCTGGGAAGCACAAGGTTACGGTTTAAAATATTCAGTAGACTTTGGATTAACGCCGAAATTCTGTTTTAGAATATCCTGAGCATCCTTTCAAAAGAATGCCATTAGGTAGTGAAGCATACATTACATCGGTGTAACCGCTGTTACGGTGTGGAGTTTCTCTTGAAGCTGCGTATGAATCTTCTCTTGGAGACTAGGAGCTGCATTCAAAGTTAATGGGGCGTTTGTTTTGATCCTTGAGAGAAAAGTGACCAATGTAAGTGTAAAGGGCACGGGATCTCACATCTGTGAGCTGGCAGCAGGACCTGCAGCTGCTGTGCCACGCGTGTGCCCAGAGCACAGTGCCTGTGTGCCCAGGTGCTGCCCTTGGTGGACGCAGAGTAGCCCTGGGTAGAGGGAGCACCACCCTGTCACATCCTGTATGACTTGTTCACGTGGCCAAAGCCCGAAATTACATTTCCCTCCCAGTAGTTTCTGGTGTATGTATGCTGAGACTGAGCAGAAGCCAGGGGCAGTGCCATCCTTCGTTTTCTTACTAAGCAGTGCTGTCTTGTGAGTGCACAGAAACTAAGATACGATATGGATACAGAAATTCTTACGGATGGTTTGTGTGCTCAGTAGGCTTGTCCTTCATTTGAGGAACGAGATGAAAATACTGGCTTCCTATTAAAAAAGCCCTAATTTAAAGGAAAATTCAAATGTTTAAATTTTGCTTCAGGGTGGTGTTAAGACTTGTTCAGAGCAGAAGATGCTTAGTGCTTGAGTAACGTCCCTTGTGTTGATCTTCTATTTTTGAGAAACAGAGAAGTTGGGAAGGGACAGGAGCTGCCATCGAGCAAGTTTTTTTTCCTCTTTGCCAGTTTCTGTTTTGAGAAAGTTCATTTCAATAGAGTTTAAATTCTGCCTGCTGGAAAGGTTGCCATGTATTTCTGACAGACTGTGATGTCGTGCATCCCTGAGCTGTGCACCGAGCGCTTCCTCAGCATGGACAAGGAGCGTGCTGGGGGTCTGCGTGTTCATCTCCATGCTGTGCTTTGTGGTGGGGCCTTTTGGAAGGAGCTGTGCAGTGCTTCTCTTCCCACCTGAACGCGGGGGTTGTGTAGATGCTTTGCTTTGTCTGGGACTGCTGTGGATGGCATTTCTGGAATGGGCAGAGACCTGCTCAGCCTTGGGAATGCTCTGTGTGAA